CTCCTTGTAAACAAGTTGCATTTCTGATTTAAATACCAATACATATCCTGATTAGTTTCCTGAAAATGCAGAATCACTGAATAATTTCCAAGCAATGATGACTGAATACATATTTATTGCCACTGTACATTCAGCTTGTTTCTAGTCTGAAAGTCAGATGTGACAGGAACTACATTACAAGTTCAAAAAAGAATTACCTCTTGTTCCAAAGTCAATCTTATTTTCAAAGTCTTTTCAAAGAATTTTTACAGCTGCTACCATTTTCAGATATGTATGACTTCCGACAGATGCAAAGCTTCACTATCATTTTATGCTAATATTACATATACAAGCTGGAAATCCGACTACAAGCATGAAATGTGTTCAAATGTGAAGCTTTACAGTCAATGGTGAATAGAAAAGACAGATACGGCAGATACGAGCTACAGAGGATCCACCATTAGAATCCATTTTACAAAGTGTTGAAATATGATTCATACGCTGTAGGATGAACTAAAAGGAAGAGATGCATGGCATTTGAGAACATGAAGATAAAGAGACTCATTCTTTGGGCCTGCTGTGCTGGCATAACGGTGCGTTTTCCATTATGTCTTGAGATCAAGTATGAAGTTCTTTGAGACTGCTCAACAAGAAAGTAGGTTATGCTGTGTTCTCAAGGCAATTTAGACATTGATCAATCTTGTTGTTCCAACTAAATTTGGGTTGTGAGAGTCTTTGGCAGGCATCTTTGACTGTGTAGTATGTGTGGCATTTGTGAAAGCCCCAACACTTCCTGTGCATTCCATATCACCGGATGGCTGGGATTTGCCAAGGCTCTCTTCCTGAATGATTCTCCAATTAGAGTGGAAGATCCAGATTAGCTTTCAACTACACTGTAAATGTCAACCTTGCACGGGGTCCTGTTGAGGTTCAGAGGAAGTATGAGTCATTTAACCCCGAGGGTTTCTTTTCAGTCCTGTTTACAGTAGCCCAATAGCACAATCTTGACATAATGATAATTTCACAGCAATGACAATCTTATTTCAAAATAGTGACCCTGACTTTAGTTACAAACAGCATACTGAAAACAGGGTATCAAATCAAATTACTTTGACAATGAAGAACCTCTCCTGTTTGGTTCTTCTAAGGTCCTGACTTATTTTTTCTTTACAGAATTTCATTTTTTTAAAGAATAATGTATCCATTGACAAGGCTATTGGTGGATTTTGGAATAAATAAGGTAAATATCTGGGCCAGGCACTATTGGCTTGTTGGTCTATGATTCTTGCTTTGGGTGTGAAAGTTCCTGGGTTCAAATGCTGCTGTCAGCTTATTCTGCTGTTCTGGAGAGTGTTGATTTGACATGTGCTGCCATAACCATGAAAGCGTAACACGAGTTGAGGTCAAGGATTTATCATGTTCCAGTGGCACTTTACAGAATGTTGCATGCACCAGGGTAGTGCGTCATTCAGAACTGAATTGGAGAACGCCTTTAGATAGATAGATAGATAGATAGATAGATAGATATAGAATAGAATAGAATAGAATAGAATAGAATAGAATAGAAGAGCAAAGATGGTTATGGATTAGTTAAGTGCCTGTGGAAGAGGTGTCTTCAGCCATATTTTGAAAGTTATGATGGTCTCAGCAAATAGAGCATGTTCACCACAGAAGGCTGCAGGGCTACTGTCAACGACAAAAGCAGGTACCAAAAGGAGATATATTGGCTCCAACACCATTGAGCTCCCTATGTAGGCAGGATATTAAGGCATCAAAGGCACACTCCTGATGCGAAGGCTAATTTGCTGCCTTCTATGACTCCTTCTTTTGGCCAAATTCTAAGGCAGTATCGCCAAGGCCTAAGTGCTAAAGCCAAACTCTACTGAAATCAATTGTGAGTGGAGTCTCAAGTGAAAAATTCACATTCAAAATTAATCACTTAGGGTTCCATTTCTGTTAGGATCCTGCCTTAGAAGACAGCTGCCTACGTAGGTAGTAGACAGCAAGTCAGCTCACTAGAGTCATTATTTAAACAAGTAGTTAAAAGTTACAGTAAGGCAACAAGTACAGCACAGCAGCAGCAGTGATGCTGCCACAACCATTTGCAATGGAAATGCTAAATATAAAATACAGACGCTCCTTGTGCGATCAGCAGGGATTCCCAGCTCAGTCATCTAAACGGCAGCTTCCTCCGTTCCTCAGCAGGCCTTCGGTTGCCATGGCGACACCCATTACACACACCTGCCAATGATTCAGGTTCCCTAGTGCCCAGACAGTTCTCTCTCTCTCTCTCTCTCTCTCTCTCTCTCTCTCTCTCTCGAGACGCATGTTTATTCACAGCTACTGACCCAAAAACAACCCCCATGGTTTACTGTTGGGGTCTCGTTGACTTGGGAGCAGTGAAAAGGAAATGACATGTGAAAATCTCAATCCATCGGCCACTAAAGAAAGCATCTTTTGACTCTCGTGGATAACGTGAGCTAGCAACCCATCTAACACACTCTCTTAGCCTGTCTCCGGCTCTCTCTGTTCCTCTGATTATGATCTGGATCAGTACCGCACGGCCATTTTCTCTCCTACATGTGGGGAGGAGCGGCCAGCCATGTTGACTGTCTGAAATTGAAATTAAAATCATTTGGCTATATCTGAATCACAGTTACTGATAGCCAGAGAAAGATAGTGACAGAGGCTTTGTTCACATTGCACATCCAACTTTTTAAATCACACTGTCATGATGCAAGTGATCTGATCTGAAATCTGATTTGACAGTGTTGTCTATATATGTTACATTCAAATTGGCAAACAGAAATTGATAAACTGATATCAGAAATTGATATGTGAACAGATGTGATTTTATTTTCTCCTGATCAGGTTCAGCTCATTACCCAGAAGACTATCCGTCCAAAGCTGCTGTATTTGTATTCTAGCAAGGCATTTATCAAGACAAAACATCTCTAACTGTTGTTTTCTCATCTTTTGTTTCTCCAAATCGGTGGTAAAGAATAATAGTCATTGACAGGGACGAGTCTAACCAGAAAATGAGCTATGACAAACCTGCACGCTGTCTGATTTCCTGCTCTATTGAGCTCTAACAATACGACCAATGCACAAAGACAAGCCCCTGAATGGTTCATGTCCTCTGTGTCGCCCTGAACACCAATTAATCTTTAAATGGACCCATTCAAGCCCCATATGCTCTGGGGATTCTGGGTAACCACATTGGATAGGATAATAAAAAAAATAAAGTGTTAATTCGTGAGTGTTAATTGTAATTTTATTGTAATTTTTGTGCCAAGTTTTAAAGAACAATAAAATGGTAATAATGTAATAATTTTCAAAAGAAATGGACCCCACTGACATTTATTTTGTATGGATGATAAATACAAGAGTAAATGAAGACAAAAAATTTCCACTATCCCATTAAATGTTTCGCTATACCGTTTATATCATGTTTATACCATAGTTGAAAGTGTATATTCATGTAGCTTTCAGTTGCTTTACATTAGTTACTCTGAAAACATGAAGTAAAACAAAAATACAAAGCAGGATGAGTCCCAAACAAGTCAAGCAGAGGAAGAACTCATTATTAAAGGGAGTTTATTTTATTTTATTTTAGTTTAGTTTAGTTATATTGAAGCCTGAAGTGAAACTAAAGTGCAGTTATAGATGTATATATTTCATTTGCAAAATTTTTTTTAAAAATTACTAGATTATACACAGATAATGAGTTGCCACATTGTTATTTACGTCTTTAAAAATATCAAAATATTTTTTCAGTTTAATTTCTAAGGAACTTCCAATATTGAATATTGTGATAATGTAATATAAAATTAAGATTTTAAAAATAAGATTTTACTCATATTTCCCACTACCAATGAGCATTCTAACATATTGTAACAAACAAGGTAATTTATAAACCAAAATATATAAATTTTCTTTACATCCCCAGTGTGCATAGCAACAGGTTGGGGTAGCATAAAGAGACCAAGAGAGACGGCGCTGTCAGTGCGACTGCCAAACGTGCACACACACACACACACACACACACACATTTCACTTCTGATTAGAATGACTGTCTTCGAATTTATTAAAAGCTCCCTTCTAATCACTACGTGAAAGCAGCGACTGCACCTGTTACACAGGACGAATGGGAATTCCTCAAATTCTCCGAAACATTTAAAGCAAACACTTGTAAAGCCAGCAGAGCTGACCCGTAGCTAGTACCACCCAGCGCTGACTCAGATACAGCTCCTGCCAATGCATCTGAATGGCTGCAATTAAGCAGATTATACTGCTCGTGCAGAGAATAGAAGGAGTGGGTGGAGGGAAAGAGAAAGAGAAAGAGAGAGACAGACAGAGAAAACATCTGTCCAAAGTATACAAAAGAACGAATTGAATTTAAATATGTGTATAACACTAGTATTCATATCTTAGTCATTATAAAAGAAGAGTCGTTGAAAAATATAAAAATACATAAATATAAATAAACTTTTTGTGTAAAATATGTTGTGTAAAATATAAGTAATCAGCTTAATTCAAGCCAAAATTATTGTTTAATATGACATCAGGTTACACAAACAAAAAAAGTCATTTTAAAAGGTCAGATCAGATCAGCTCTTGTAAGAAACATTGACATGTTTGAACTTTTTAAGGAGCAATGGTTGTGCATATACAGATCATTTGATGAAATATGCACAACTTTTTATGTATTCATTTTTTTGTTGTTCAATAATCAAAACAAACTCCTGTGAAAAACTCAAACCCAAACAAAGAGAAGATCCTGTTCCAGAATCAGCCCTGAAAGTGTACTGTCAAACACCTTCAAAACAAAACCATGCCACCCTGAGCACACCCCTTCAGTCGCTCCAGAACAAAAGAGAAGCTTCCTCCAGATCCCCGTCTAGTGCTTTTCAACATCAACAACCACCATTAACCCTTCCAAATGGCATAAAAGGAGGATTTAAACAAGCCCTGAGCGTTAAACTGAAAAGATCTGTATGTTTAAGCAGCTTTCTTGTTACCTTTTTGCCCTTCTTCTTGCGTAGCGCTTGCTTGCCGGTCCCTTTTTCCTTGGCGTCTTCGCTCATCTTATACAAAAGGTCCTTTCATTTAATCCAAAATTGAGAGAGCAGTGATGATGAGAACTACAGAAAAGTCCACGAGAAGCGAGTCGCTCTAATACCTGCTGCCCTCTTGTTTTCGATTGTCAACACGCACTCAAAGAACTCGGTCCAAACAGCACTTGAGCGCTTTGGGTGGTTTGGTTGGTGCCAGCTCCTACACACGCCACAGGTCACTGTGAGGGAGACGGGGGAGGAGAAATCACTGGAGCTTTTATTGGAGTGGGTTGAGAGATCCGTGGGCTAGTTCTTCTGACCCAGCTGCCCACCTCTCCCTGACCAACACAGTTGGGTCTACTGATTCACTGGTGCTCCTCACACAGACTAAATGGTGCTGATGGAGACACGCGCTCTTCCCTAGCAGCCAAACATCAAGAGGGAGGGAGAGAGAGAGAGAGAGAGAGAGAGAGAGAGAGAGAGAGAGAGAGCGGTGGAGAAGGAGCGCAAAGATGAAGCAATTGCCATGGAGAAACCCCACTTTACAAATAAGAGGGGTGAACTGAACACAGGCTGGAATAAATGGTTGATTAACGCCTGCTGATAGAAATTGCACACCCGCCGGCTCTGAGCGTGGCCATTAGTGAAATGCCAGTATAAGGAGAGTTCACAGACAAAACCTACCGGGGTCAGGTTACTGGTCAGTAGATGATCTCTTTTATTTCACGCAGCTTCTCGCCGAGATGTAACAAAAGAGTGCAACTGTGACCATCCATCTTTTCACCAGCCTTGGGAACGCAAGTAATTTTCCCATTCGTTTTCTTTTTTTCAAAGTTTTTTTTTTAATTCTCAATGAAGAGCTGTAATAATATGATGTAATCCATGCTGTAAGCCATGATGTCATCAGAAATAGAACTACTATATAAAACAGGGATGCAGTGATATTCGAACTCTGGCTGATAATTATTTAGACGTTTTGGGTGATAGCTGACATAAATGGTCGATAATACAATTCTGAATAAACAAATGATTTTTGTTTTTAGAATTTTACAGTAAATGCTACAAAATGTAGGCATCAAAACGTTATAACATACAATATGAAAAATTTATATTTTGAAACAAAAAAGAAGTAAAAAATGTTAATAATAAGTTAATATACATTATTAATTAAATATGAATACAAATTAATAATAAAAAAATGTAGTTTTAAATCCTAGGCATTACAACATTATAAACAAAAGTATGAAAAATAAATCTTAATTGTGAGACATACATTTTCTTCTACAGGCAGTTATATTAAATTATTAGTAGTATTAAAGACTAACTATAGTTGCCAGCATAGGTAAAATGTAAAAAAAATAATCATAAATGAGCAAGCATGAATAAATATCCAATATCAACGTTTAAAAATTAAACCACTAATATCGACCAATAATGTTATTTTAGTACAACTGAGGTACTGTTAGATTTTTTTTCTTTTGTTTTCATTTTATTTTTGTTACATTTTTAGTTTTGTATATAGTTTATTTTTTATTTTCTTTTTTAAATTTTAGTTGGTATATCAAGTTCAACTAAATTAAAATGAGAAATGCTGCCTTGTGAACTAGCTGAAATAAAATAGATGTAATATTTTTTTACAATTTTATTTCAGTTAAAGTTGATTTCAAGTAATTAAAGTTTGTTTGTTTGTTTTTTACGGTTTTTATTTTTATTTAACCATAATAACCCTAGCGATAACCATTATATTGTGCATCCTTAATATAAAACTAACTGACAGCAATGTATTTTCTTTGATTGTTTGTTACATTTTACCTTCCACGATAATAATATTGGAAATTTAGCAACTATAGATTATGTAAAAAAATATATATGTTGAAATCACACTGACTTGTGGCTTCTACAGATGCATTGATTATTGCTCTATAACCTCTGAGTATAAGGTAAAATTTCTCTATAGAAAAATAACTGGGATTTTACTACTGTTGTGCTGTATTACACCAGCAGTGATTCATTGAATGAAGGAAAGCGCTTAGTTGGAGAGTCTGTGCAACGCCTCTGGCCAGAGAACAATAACTGGAGAGCTTACTCAACCTCCAGAGAGGAACCAGCATAGAAGCTGCTAAAGCATCATGTGATCCAATTTTCCAGTTGCACAGCATGTGATAAGAAGTTAAAAAGATAGAGATGTAGAGAAAGTACATAGTGGGTTGTTTACATGGCTCAACATTATGCTTCAACATCACTTACATTATCAAAATGCTGGTGCGCTTTAAAAAACAGTCACAGTAATTTGAATAGTGCCGTACAATTACCTACTCATCGCTGTGTCTCCTCTGAGTGCAGTGCCATTTACTATTCACCAACACCACAAATGTGCTCTGAACCAATAACAATGGATTCGTTCTCTGGGAGCGAGATTGTAACAGAGCGCTACAGCAACTGTCTGCTCTTTCTGGTTTGTGGTCCCCATTTCTATTAATATTAACTGAGAGCTGAGTGGTTATGTAGCTGTATGTCCATTATGGTTTAAAATGAAAACAGGTATATCAAAGAGAATCCTCTCACGTCTGTCCTCTGCTGGTCAATGAGTGTCATGACATAAACAATACCACCCTGTTCTTTATACAGAGATCAGATATATATTGAGATCCTTTTGTTAGGATCAAATGCGTGTCTGCATTATATTTGGCATCACGATATTCAATTTAAAAACCCACTTCCATCATTTATTGCTTGATATGTACGTATTCCATCATATAAAGACAAGGAAAGCTACCAAAGTACAATTCATGCATTCAGTGAATTCATAAAGGATTAATTAATCATCAAAAATGGAAGCAAATAAGCAGCAGAGTCTCACTAACATGCAGCTTCACTAGTAGTTGCAGTGCAGTTTCTCACCTTTAATGCAACCTGGCAGCAGAAGCACAGCTTCACACCTAACACAAGGTGACAAAACCCAGACTTGCTGAACCCTGATAACCTCCTTTTACACTGTTCCAACAGGCCATGAGCTCCCATTACATGAATCTTATAATAAAATGATTGCTGAAAGGATAATAAACAGGTTATTAGAGATAAACCATTACACGCTAAAAGGAATGTTCAAGGTTCAAAATAGGTTATGCTCTATTGACAGTGTGTGACATGCCAACAGTTAAACAATCATTTCAGCTCATCAGTGCAGAGAATGACACTAGTATAAACTCTAAAATACACAGTTTCAAAATAAACAATATTTCAGTTACCATATCAGGTCATTCTAATTATTAATATTAGAGATTTTTTAATTTATTGATCTGTTGATATTCAGTTGTGCATGCTCATGTTTTCTGTTTTAACATTTAGATAACCTTTGCCTTCTGATGCTCAAAAAATAATAATTTTAACACAATTTTAAACATAATCTTAAGCAAATCTCAAGATGAATACATTTGACATACAGTTCATTACAATTTAAATTAACATTTAAAATAGAGCACAGTATTTCAGGCACAAATAGACGCAGGAGTGAACAGAATTCAGTGTTCACGTGCATCTGCGTGGCTCTCACCGTGTCTACACCGGACGCGAGCGGCGCAGCGCAACAAAATACAATGAACCCATTATAATCAGTGATGCTGTCTACACTGGGATACGACAAATCCCCGACAGTAAACTGATGCCGCTTTCTCTTTATGACGTACTGACACAAAGTTCAAATGATGAGCAATAGTCGCTTTGTCGCGTCCAGTGTAGACAGACTTTGGGGCCGTTCACATGGCGCGCCTAAAAACGCATGGGAAAACGCCAGTCACGCCGCTTTCTCCTTCTTTCCGAAGCGCTTGGGAGCTTGCGCTTTCGTGGTGTCTGGCGTTGCTTAGCAACCGTGACCTCCGCTCTCCACGACGACGCGGAAGATTCAACAAAGGATAAATGGATTTTCCAGCACTGAAAATCGCGTGCAGTAGCTCTGCTACTAAATGTATTTAAAATGGGTATCTCTGTACAGTTGTCACGTCCGGTGTAGACACCATGTCTGTGTGTGAGCAAAGAAAACAATCAGTATAAATATAACGATCAGTAGCCTATACTAAACATCGCACATCCTGCGATATGACTATCGCGGATTCACACATCGCGATATCGATGCTAAAACGATATATTGTGCAGCCCTAGTAAAAATGTCTTGCCATGTGACCTAAAAAGTGTTTCATTTGAACCTAAAATCTTAAAGCTGTTTTTATTCAAGTTAAAAAATTCAATGTAATATGACTAGATAAGGTTACACCAACACAAGTTATTTTTAAGATGAAAGTCAGTGAATGGGTGCCGTCAGAATGAAACTTCAAACAACTGATAAAAAAAAACATCACAATCCACAAGTTATCAATATTTATTTATATATTTGTTTAGAACTCTTTTTGCTTGTAAACAGTGCTTGATCTGTGCATATTTCTCTCCTGATTCAGACTAGATGACTTTTTCATTGGAGAAAGCTATATTTTGAAGAAAGGACCTGTATTTATGCTGGAAGCAATGGTTTGAAGTTAAAAACATCTTAATGATGGATTTGTTTATTACAAACATGCAGCCTTTTACTTCATTTGGATTACTTGTGGATTATTGTGATGTTCTGATGAAGAAACAAACTACATTTTGGATGGGTTAGTAAATTTTCAGCTAATTTTCAATTTGGGTGAACTATTTCTTAAATAGTGTTGTAGCAAAAAAAAAAAAAGTTCAGCTTTAAAATCTCAGGAACATTTGTACCCTTGACTTCCAGTGCAAGAGCATTACTGTACAGATTCAGGGTTGAGCAGTAATCAACAGAATGTCAAAGATGATGTGCACAGATCAAACTTGTTTTGAATTTATAACATTCCAAGTCACTATCATTCACACAGGATGTGTTATTGTATTCAAGATCAATAGAGCGCAACGGAATGAAACAAACATACAGGAGGGATCTCAAGATGTGTTTTTTTAAAGTCAAACAACTTTTATTGCAACTTGACACGGTACATTAAAAATTCAATGCTAAAAACCACTACACCACCAACATCCTGGCATGTACACTTACAAAAGGCGAAAGCTGACAAAAAGATATGAACCACATAAAACTGCAAATCATGACATGCTGATGGAGAAAAAAAAAAAGATTTTTAATGGCATAAAAAAGGCTTGTCAATGTTCAGTGCTATTATGTTAACCGATCTACAAGAGCCAATTTATATATATGTCCCTGGAAAAAGTGTATATCTGCCTGTTTTGGTCTTCATTTATTGTAGTAGTGTTTTTATATATCTCACAACTCTGTGAACTTGGTTCTACCAACATATAAAACTGCTTTCTAGAAAAGTATTTTTGTCCTGATGCAATACTCTTGTAAACTACATCACCTGCCAGATCAGAGACAATTTATTAAATAAGCAAAAAACTAGCAAATCACTGAAGGCAGCTCTCGAAAAAATTCATGAAGCAGCTCTTTTGCT